AAAAAAAAAAAAAAAAAAAAAAAAAAAAAAAAAAAAAAAAAAAAAAAAAAAAAAAAAAAAAAAAAAAAAAAAAAAAAAAAAAAAAAAAAAAAAAAAAAAAAAAAAAAAAAAAAAAAAAAAAAAAAAAAAAAAAAAAAAAAAAAAAAAAAAAAAAAAAAAAAAAAAAAAAAAAAAAAAAAAAAAAAAAAAAAAAAAAAAAAAAAAAAAAAAAAAAAAAAAAAAAAAAAAAAAAAAAAAAAAAAAAAAAAAAAAAAAAAAAAAAAAAAAAAAAAAAAAAAAAAAAAAAAAAAAAAAAAAAAAAAAAAAAAAAAAAAAAAAAAAAAAAAAAAAAAAAAAAAAAAAAAAAAAAAAAAAAAAAAAAAAAAAAAAAAAAAAAAAAAAAAAAAAAAAAAAAAAAAAAAAAAAAAAAAAAAAAAAAAAAAAAAAAAAAAAAAAAAAAAAAAAAAAAAAAAAAAAAAAAAAAAAAAAAAAAAAAAAAAAAAAAAAAAAAAAAAAAAAAAAAAAAAAAAAAAAAAAAAAAAAAAAAAAAAAAAAAAAAAAAAAAAAAAAAAAAAAAAAAAAAAAAAAAAAAAAAAAAAAAAAAAAAAAAAAAAAAAAAAAAAAAAAAAAAAAAAAAAAAAAAAAAAAAAAAAAAAAAAAAAAAAAAAAAAAAAAAAAAAAAAAAAAAAAAAAAAAAAAAAAAAAAAAAAAAAAAAAAAAAAAAAAAAAAAAAAAAAAAAAAAAAAAAAAAAAAAAAAAAAAAAAAAAAAAAAAAAAAAAAAAAAAAAAAAAAAAAAAAAAAAAAAAAAAAAAAAAAAAAAAAAAAAAAAAAAAAAAAAAAAAAAAAAAAAAAAAAAAAAAAAAAAAAAAAAAAAAAAAAAAAAAAAAAAAAAAAAAAAAAAAAAAAAAAAAAAAAAAAAAAAAAAAAAAAAAAAAAAAAAAAAAAAAAAAAAAAAAAAAAAAAAAAAAAAAAAAAAAAAAAAAAAAAAAAAAAAAAAAAAAAAAAAAAAAAAAAAAAAAAAAAAAAAAAAAAAAAAAAAAAAAAAAAAAAAAAAAAAAAAAAAAAAAAAAAAAAAAAAAAAAAAAAAAAAAAAAAAAAAAAAAAAAAAAAAAAAAAAAAAAAAAAAAAAAAAAAAAAAAAAAAAAAAAAAAAAAAAAAAAAAAAAAAAAAAAAAAAAAAAAAAAAAAAAAAAAAAAAAAAAAAAAAAAAAAAAAAAAAAAAAAAAAAAAAAAAGAAATTCCTACAATGAGTTGCCTAATTTTTAAAAATAACATTTAATTTGTCTGCCGCCATCTTTTGACATTTTGTTATAAAAATAAGTTTTGATATTAACTATTATAAGATGACAAAAACTTTAATTTCGAAGTTAGTGATTGATTTTATAAAACAAACATTGTAAATGCTAATAAGTAATCTTCTTTAAGACCAATCTAGCTGGAGATATGACACGAAATGGCCCACTATTTCCCCATCTTCTCGATCTTTAACCACCAAAGTTTATCATCGTCAATGTCCTTCGTAATCAAAGTTACCGTGCCGAATTTCGTGTCTTCGTCTTGAGATAATAAATGAAATATACACCAACATTCTCACTGGCATACCACACGCATCCACAGAATTTTTTCCCAGTTAATAGTGCGAGATCCGTATTGTTTAAAATATTGAATCCCTTCCTCCCGAAGGGAAGTCGAATTTCCTTTCTATCGGCCGACTCGGAGGTGATTCAGATGCAGCTTTTACACACGGTACTTGGCCGTCTGAGGAGGTCGATATAAAAAGGGATTGTACCCGCCATTCCGGGCAGTTTTCCATACGAAGGAATTATCACATAAAATATGATTAAGACCGTTCATAGTCGAGAGGACCTCCACATAGATGTCGATCATATTGTAATAGTGCATCCATAGAAGTTACGATCCGCGTTAAAATACGATTAACTGGTGTCGCCATTGTCTCTACCTTTTTGCTAGCAACGTGAATCCTTCCACACTCGATATTATTAGTAGTAAAGCCATGTTTGTAGACAGACAAGAACTGATTTAAGGATTAGTCGCCGATTAAGTGGTATCGAATCAAAACGATATTCTATACACCCCCGGCTGATCTCACAATAGCATTTACAATTTTGTTTCCTTTTATAAAACTCATTCCTGCTCTCAAAATTAGACTTTTTGGTTTTATAATACTTAATCATATAACAACTTTTAATAATATAATCACGTAAAAGATGGCTCCACACAGTTGTATTTATTAAGATTAATATATAATATAAAAGGTTATTTTTTTTAAATAAAATCTCATAACAGCTGGGAGAGTTACATAACTCTTTGCTAGATTTTTTTTATTTATAAGTGATTAACAATGACGCGTTGCCCGGAAAGCGACTTAAATACAGATGAATAAGCAAACCAGTGAAACGAAACGGGTATGTCATCGGTTTGCTTGCTAGACATCCCATGTTTTAGCTAAAATGTCCTTGTCACTTATTAAAGCCAGAAACTTTTCCTTTATTTTCATTTTTCCATACAATTTGTCCTTTATATTTATGTTTCAATATCCGCGTTTGATAATGGCCGTGATGGATTCTCACACCTACATATGTCTATCCTTATACATCAATCTGTATACTGTAGTTCGAGACTGAAAGATGTGATTTATNACGTAAAAGATGGCTCCACACAGTTGTATTTATTAAGATTAATATATAATATAAAAGGTTATTTTTTAAAATAAAATCTCATAACAGCTGAGAGAGTTACACAACTCTTTGCTAGATTTTTTTTTATAAGTGATTAACAATGACGCGTTGCCCGGAAAGCGACTTAAATACAGATGTATAAGCAAACCAGTGAAACGAAACGGGTATGTCATCGCTTTGCTTGCTAGTATAAAAAAAAACATGTTGCCAGACATCCTATGTTTTAGCTAAAATGTCCTTGTCACTTATTAAAGCCAGAAACTTTTCCTTTATTTTCATTTTTCCATACAATTTGTCCTTTATATATATATTTCAATGTCCGTGTTTGATAATGGCCGTGATGGATTCTCACACCTACATATGTCTATCCTTATACATCAATCTGTATACTGTANTATGAGGAAAACATGTAACACAGTGAAATTGAAAATCATTCATCATGAAAAGCATTACAATTACAGTTCTGCCAAAGATTTGTGCCATATAATAAATTTCAAAACCTAAAAGACATAAGACACAATTTTTTTCTGCTTTCACATTATTAGTTATTAAAATGTTCCAGTTTATTATTGACTGATAATTACTTGTGTAGACTTTACATAAAATAGTATTTAGTAGCCAATGCTTAGTGACAGTGGCTTGTAGCATATGTATACCATTTCTCTCCTACTTTTAGTTGAAGATGTGATACAACTGGCAAGATACTATCTATAAAAACTAGACACTAACTGAAAATGGATCCTGAGATTTGGCAACAATGATTTAATTTATATATGATAGGTCTATATGAGATACAACTGGTTTTTCTCCTGATTACCAAGTGCTCTAATATATAGCTTTATTTGTTGATAAGTTCTAAAAAACTCATACTTTATCCATAAATTAAGATCAAAAGTTTCTCTTAAAAATACAAAAGATTTACAAGTAGTGTTACCACCCGGACAGTTCTGGAATTGACTCACTGTTTGGGTGAACTATTAATTTTGTCCAGGAATTTCGTAGAAATTGTGAAATTACGATGAAAAAAGTTCTTGCAAATATTTTTACAAATTTACACTATTTTAACAGCGAAAGAACTCGCACTCACTGAAACTCATCTGCAATTCTGCCATGTTAGTTAGTCTGTTTACACCAATGTGTGGCGCGCAACCTGTTACCTTTTCTTTTTGTTTTTTGCATGTACGATCATACATGCAAGCAACAAAAAAAAAAAAATGTTATTGGATATTAGAGACGTGTACAATCGACGATCGTACACATCTCTCCAATATCCAATAGAGCTAAGTCATCTGTACTGTAGTACCTGTTCTTTATTAATTTAGGTTACTTCTACGCAATTCCCTAGTCCCTAACTGTAACTGATTTAGAAACGCCATGCACGTTATTCTTTGCATTGTAAATGACATTGTGCATGCGTCAGGAACTTCTATTCGAACAAACCTAACCTGCCCTCCGGGTCAGCGATTTTCAAAAGGTGGCAATACTATTTACAAGTACTATTGTTTCCATAAATTGCATTCTCCAAAGGATTATATACAATTAAAAAAATAATAATGACAATACAAACAAATTTGGGTCTATTTAAAACTTTATCCTTTTTAAAAATTCCAGCAAGAGAGATGGTTAACAACTTGAAGATAAAATGCAGTCTTCATTAAAAATGACTGATGATATGACATTAAAAACATATACTTAATACATTTACGCTGACCTTTTCTTGTAGGATCCAATGCTAACAACAAACAGTACTAAAAGTTTACACAAGGTCACTGTTGCATATAAACACTAGACTGGTGAAAATTTGAGAATTCAACAATATTTACATAAATATATTTTTTCCATATGTAGTAATAAAATTTGTACAGTCGACCCCCTATAACACTGTTGATAATTCCATTTTATATGAATTCCATGTTGTACAAGTCACTTAGATTTTATAAATATGTGTGCTGCGCTGTGAATGGCTTATGTATTTGTAAAATCTAAGTGACTTGTACAACATGGAATTCATATAAAACAGAATAATCAACAGTGTTATAGGGGGGTCGACTGTATTTCTACTTGAAATGTAATTCTACAAAAAATCCAATCAAATGCTAATTTTAAAATACCTGTGTAATAATTAAAAGTTTGAATTTATTGAACATGTTTTTATATTTTGTATTAAATTAGGAAATAAAATTTTTAAAGAAATAAATCAAATTTTAGAATATATTTAATATGATAGATGTAGATTTAAATTTTAAAATTAATTTGACATTATAGATTGTGATAATCAGTTAAAATTTTATATAAACAAAATCTTTCTCTTATGAAATTTAGTACAATTTATTTGGAGAGAGTGTTGTTAAAGCATGCCTTGCTGCTGAAACTCATCATTTAGACGTTAGTGGAGAATCACTGGTAAACATAATGTTATGAATTAATAATTAATTAGTTTTTATGGAAATGGTTTATTAATCACTAGAGCTTTTAGTTTCTTGAAGGGATGCAATTGAAATATCATGAAGAAGCAATTCAAAAAGGAATTTATATAATTGGAGCATGTGGATTTGACAGCATTCCTTGTGATTTGGGAGTATCTCTAGTTAAAAAAAAGTTTCAAGGTATAGATATATTATTTGAATGAATATAATTTTGTCTACATCATTTTGTATATAAAAATATAACAATTGCATATTAATGTTATTTATAAATGTGCATTTATGAAAATAAAATCCATCATTTTGATGATCAATTTCATGCCAGTAACCATTCTGGGCATTTATTGATAGTTAAGATGTTAAATTTATAATATTATTTAAAATATCTAATCATTAGATTTATCAGGCTATATTTAGGTTAATATCAAATAAATTTAACTAAATTAAATTTGGCATAAGGATAGATCATCTTGTATTCATATTAATAATTAAAAATTATGTTACATTAAATCAATCATTTTTTACAACAATGAAAGAAAAGATTGGTCCAGAGTGTGGCATGAATCCTGTATACCTTGAGAATGTGTTAACAGTAAGCTACTCAGACATTCCTGTCCAGTCTTTTAAATTATTTAATAAAATTAATATTAAGACAAGATGGAAGTCTAAACATCCACCTTCGGGACAAATTAGTTATATTTAAGCTAATATTAAGTCAATATATCAGTTGTATTTATAAATTTGAACACTAAATTTATTACTATATTTCAATTACTTAAATGTAATAGTTATTACTAAATTTAATCAGTGAATTAAAAGAAAAATATTGTTACATACTAAGCCAGTGATGCCCACACTAGGCTAAATCCATCCTGCCTTAACCAGGCAACTTAATTTGGCCCATAAACATATTTGGTACATCAATTATAAATGATGAAAATAGACTTACTTTTTGTATGTATGGAATATAAAAAATATTTCTCACCAATTGAAAAGTTTGGGCATCACTGTACTAAACAATCTAACACAGAAAAAAAATAATGTATAAAATGTATCTGTTTCAGGTGATCTCAATTCCGTAGAAACATATCTTGAATTTAATAGTGGACCACAGGTGCTTATGATTTGTGTTTTTATATGTTGTTAATAAATTTAATTATCTCAAACTCTGATATATACAGTCAACTGGCCTTAAATGAACACCGATAAATTAAATTCTCATGTTAAAGCAAATTTTGTTATTTCCCTGGCAAAACACCATTTTCACAATGTTAATTTTCATGCAGTAAAGCAAACAAAAATTTTAGCAGAATTAGTTAAACTGAACTGTCAATTAACTTCACAATTTCCAAGAAATAATCCTATTCCCAATAATGGTTGTTTTTTTATACTTTTTGACACGAACAATAAAAACTTATACTGTAATAAATGTTCTATTGTGTGTAGAATAGATTTTTTCTGTTAAGCAAAGATGGGTTTGATCTCCAATTCAAATATCTGGTTTGATTGTACCATTTTAATGTACTCTGAAAACAGGAGTTAAAGTTTATGGACACCCATCCCTTTAAATAGATCATCCCATGAAAATAGATGCTAGTTTGCATATTGAGGAGTGCTTACATTGATGCCAGGTTTGGCTACATTATTCCAAATTTGACTACTACTTTTTTTATTCTTTTTGCACAAAAAAATTTATTTTACTTTTTCAAATGATCTTCAATAGAGAGAAATTATGAATTTCTTTTAGCTTTGTTTTGTTTAACCACTCTAATATACTGCTCTATCTATACTTAACCGGCAAATACTGTCTTCCTCATTTCATTTGATTTAGAATGTTAATATTGTATGTTTTTGTGAATAAATTTTATTTTATTTAACTTCATTTAGTAAATTAATTCAAAATATTGTAATTTAGAGATTTAGATTGCTTATTAAGCCTTAACTCCCTAAATTATATAATCTCAACCCAAAAAAATCATTAATATGAATTTTCAATAAAGCAAACTAAGTACTGTTTCCCTAGCAATTTGTATTAATGCAAGCTGACTGTATAGCTATATGATATTAACTTTAACATGTTTTATTTTCGTATTATGATTTATTAAAATGTAGAGATTTTTAAAAAATATTTAAAAATTTTAGGGTGAAACCATTAACGCAGGCACATGGCATTCTGTGGTTAATGGAATAACGACTAAGAATAAGACTGAAGAAATTAGGAAAGAATTAAATAAGACTGTTTTTAAGAAAAGACCAAACTTTTCACACTGTCTGTCAAAAAGGTATGATGTTAACATGTAAAAATTAATTAAACCTAAAATCACTTTTAATTTATCAAAGCATTATATTATATATTGTTTTCATAATGAATTTTTTGAAAGTCATATATATTTCCCATCAACACAACGGAATATTTTTATGAGAAGGTAGAGATTGAAGAATTGAGAAGAGCTTCAAGTTAAACTTTATGTTGTGATGTTGTTTTTGCAGTCCTTGGGAAAGCCATCCTTACTCGATGTTGCTGAAGTCAGACACTTCACAGCCTTCAGGGATCTCAATTCTTCTTATTTTTTTTACATCTACAATTTACCTGGCCAATTTTACTCCTTCACTTTCCCCTCAGCATTATTTTTTTCTTGACAAAATAGCGACTCTTTAGTTCCATGTTGATAAAAGAAAGATGAATTATACATACATTAATTAGATGAGTGATAACACTTTCTAAATAACAGGCTTGTTAGATTGTTACTTCCAATTGGATAATAGAGTATCATATGGCCACTACGGAACAATTTTTAAAAATTTTTTATATATGTGACACAATGTGGCTATCATTTTTAAAGTTTAAATTTAACGTGGTCACCGATGTCACTGCAACTTAAGTGCGATCACCAATCCAAAATCGATAAAATGTTTATTCTATAGCTAATATTTTTGCAAAATAAGTAGCCTACTATACTTTCTGTCAGAACATAAAACGAAAATAACCAAAAATTTTATCTGGATTGGACAAAAATTGCAGGAGTTATAAGGAATTCATGCATTCACATGTACAGCACATGCACACACACACACAGTTTTTATATTAGTAATTTTCTGAATGAATATAATTATATTTTTTATTATTTTGCATGTAAAAATATTACAATTCTGTATTAATGTTATCTTATAAATGTGCATTTACTGATAGTTAAAATATTCAATTTATACACAAGCTCAATTTATAATAATTCAAATACCTAATTATTGGATTTATAAGGCTATATTTAGGTTAATATCAAATCAGGTTAACTAAGAAATTTGCCTAACAATAGGCAATCAAGCTGCCAGACATTAACACACCAACTGCCATGAGGTACCACTTGCCCTCATGTTAAAAATTTACCCTGGTACTTGAAAAATGCATGAGGATGTTGTTTATAAATATTTAGCATTCTGAAAGGTCTAACTCACAGAACAAAAAAATATTAAACAAAGACTTACAAAAGACTATGGTTGTATTTTACATTAAATGTGAAATGCTGCTTACAAAACATTTATAGTCAACAGTAATCTTTCCTCTATCTTTCTCTGTGTTCAGGTCTCTAGATCAATGTTTCTCAACGGGGGCGATATCGCCCCATGTGGGCATTTTTCCATGTTGAGGGGGCAATTAGTAACAATTTATATTTTGGGGGCAAAAAACAATTTTCTGGGCGATATAGTAAAACATTATATTAAGAATAATTAGATATTTTATTTGTTATATCGTACAATAATTAAACAAATATTATTATACAAGTCACTAGTCTATTCAATGCATGTTATTCGTTTAATTATTGTACGATATAAGGAATAAAATAACTAATTATTCTTACTATTAGGGGCAGTCAAATGAAAACGAGACAGATGGGGAAAAAGTACATAAACTGTTTATTATTTCAAAAGTAATTGCCATAACTGTTAATATTGTACATTTATCCCATTGTGAAACAAGACGGTCAATGCCTTCATAGAAAAATGTTTGCGGTTGCCTATGGAACCATGATTGTACCTAGGCGTGCACCTTTTCGTCCAAAGCAAATTAACGGCCACGAATGTTTCTTCGGGGCTCCAAAAATATGGAAATCGCATGGGGAGAAATCAAAACTGTATGGAGGATGTGCAGAAGTTTCGCTGGGAACTGCAGAAGTTCCCAGCGAAACTTCTGCAGCGTAGTCAAAACAACCTCGGTAAAATGCGGGTGGGCATTATCCTGAAACAAAGCTT